GCAGGAATTATTGAGCCTCTGCTATTATAAAGCCACATAGTCCAGTAGTAGTATACCTTGGAGAAAGAAAAATATACTTCGGGCCAGCAGGTGGCATGGTGGTTAAAGGCACTGGACTACCACATGGCTGATAACGGTTCAAATCCCGGACTGGTGGCTTGCTTTCTCACTTTCTCTCTCTCTCTCTCTTTGATTAAACTGAAAAATAATAAATAAAATTTAAAAAAAGGAAAACTTAAAATATGAAATAACAGGGAAAAGAGCTCCTAGATTCTTAAGCACTGGGATTGTTACCTGTTGATTAAGGGAATAATTATTTGTTTCATTTGCATTATTTTGCAGAAGAGCCATTATAACACTACATAACAACAGACTTAGAATGTAACATTGAGATGCTGTTGTATTTTTTAAAGGATAATCGTTACTGCCAAAATTTCCAACATTGTTCAAAGAGAGGACTCTTTATGAAATGTTAATGATAAATGTCACTGATATTTAGAATTCAGTATATAAGCAAAGCCTACATATTTAGTAAAGGCGGTTGGCACAGACTACCAAAATAGCAATTCTCAAGCCATTATTAGTAATTTCATCTAGTATGTACAAATAAATTTCTAAATACTGGTGTGAAGTGATGCTGTATTCTCTCTGATTGGTGTAGTTTTGTAAATACTAACTAAAATTCTGAAACTATTATTAGCATTTGCTATTCTAAAATCTTGAATATTTGACCTTGTATATATTTGGGAACATGTGTATGTTAATATTATCAGTCTTAAGTAGTAGACCGTATTGTTTCCCTTTTCTAGCTTATCCAAGGTAACAGTAACATTTAAAATTTTTAGAGAGTCATTGTTTTGCATAAGTGATGATATTTATGAAACATTTGTTATAATTTGATTTGATGTCATTTTCCTTTTGCTTCCTTGTTAACTGTGTTGTACATGAAGAATTAGAAAGATAATCTTATCCCTAGAATCTTTGCCTTTTTTCTTAGTATCCTAACATGTTGAACTACAATTTTTGAATATGTTATAAAATAGTAAAGTTTGTACTTTAAAAAGACCAAACAACCTGGCTTTTCTTAAGAAATGTAGTGAGTGTTTCCTTTGTCATTCTTTTAAGTAAAAAACAGGAAGCCGGTACTGGAAAAAAATGTGAAATCTTGGGTAATTTCTTTGGTTCTACCTTGGATAAATGCCCTCCCTTTTGAAAAAGCAATGTAATACACTGTAAAGTTATATGTAATCCAATGTAAGATAAAGAAGATTATGATGATAATAAAAATTAAAAAAAGAGAAAAAAAAGATTGATTTTGAAATAGAGAACTGTACTACTCTAAAGTTAATATTGTATAAACTTTGAGTAGAGCCAAGCATTTTATCTTCTACTGTTACCATTCAGTAGTATTTTTTTAACTTGATTATTTGCCTTATTAATGTAGAGTTTAAAATTGTGTATATTTTGTAAAACAACCATTAATCTATTATAGAATAATAAAACTATTGCAGAATATCCATGTCTAATTATATATTTATGAATATTTTCAAATCTACGCCAAGTCTTCAAGATGTGTTCTTTTTTTTTTTTTTAAAGAAGAGAGTTTTTTTTGCTATAGGGCATGTGCGCCAGCCAGGCAGAGAGAGACAGAGAGAAGATAAGTGAGAAATCACCCTCCCCAAGGGAACAGACACACCATAATCCCTTCTCCTCCCTTCTTCTCTTGGGACCCTGGGTGCGTGCGCATGTGCGTGTGTACACACACACACACACACACACACG